TCTATCTATCTATCTATCTATCTATCTATCTATCTATCTATCTATCTCTCTCTCTTTCTCTCTCTCGCGCGCGCTGGATAAACAAGGAAACTAACTACTCTTGCGTGTTCGCTACCCTTGCCCACGTGTGCCCTGCAGCTATTGGGTTCCGTCTCTGAAGCGGATCAGGTGTTTCCAGACCAAGTTCAATGTGGTAACTGACCAAACAAATGCGTGGCGTGGCAAGGCAAAATATGAACCCTCGAAAGCATCGTGCCTCCTTAGGTCAAAAGATTTATGTGGTTAATTCATTCTCTTGAAACAGTTTAGCATGTGTGACAACTTAGTTCCAACAATCCGCCCATGCAAAGCAACATGACCCAGCCAAAACACCAGGCAAGCTACCCTTTTTTTTGGAGCCCAAGGCCGCTTTGGATCCGGCACCGCCAGGCTTCAGGACCACTACTTCCTGGCGAGGTAGCAAAGTCGAAGGCAAAGGACTACAGCATTGTGAGTTGAATTGATACCTTGTGCCTTCCAGCCTCCGAATTCCAAGCGGAAACTCACATCTATTCAGCTGTTCTCTGTCTCTCTCTCTCTCTCTCTCTTGCAAAAAGTTGCTTTGATCATCTTTCCTATGCTGCCGAAAGCACAACTACACACAAACCCCCAGGCGCTCCTCTTTGTCACCACCGGCTGGGTAAAAGCGAAGGTCCCAACTCTGATTCCCCACAATTTGGAACTCTTCTCGGACGTCGCCTCCCTTGCCCTTGGCAGCGTCTGAACGCAAAGTTACTCGATGTCCTCAGCCAGCCGTCCCTTGCCAACCACCAGGTGGATGGGTTTTGGGATGGTGTCAATTCTCGATGTTAAAGTCATGCTGGTTGAGTTTGAAGGACTGCAGTCATGCGATGTTGCACGAAATTACTTCCTGCAAATCCGTGCGCCAGCTAGAACCCAGGGACTTTGCTGAGGATGCACCCCCGCCGGAGAAATTTCTGGTTTCCTCCGCTTTTGTACGAATATGTAGCCAAGGATCTTAAGGCATCATCACCTTTCATCGCTGCCTTGTGAATGTTCCACTTCTCCCAGGAGCCAACAATATGATGAGACTGCACCTCACCTAAAGGGGACACCAGTTGATCTTGCCATTTCAACTCGGAAGACTAGCTTCGGACCATCACCATCCTATATACCTGGACTGTGTCGCTACATAAATGATGCTGCTTGCGCCCTGATGAGGTTTACAACTTCCCAATGGCTCATGAGTTGGTCACCGGCACTTCCTGCCTGCACCTGTACCTGAACTTTCTCCTTCTGGAGGTTCGGCCACTTGCCTGCGGCAGCGTTCAAACCTCCATCCCAAACTGGTTAACGTTAGCACCCCCAACCTTCCCAAAAGGAATAGTTCAAAAGCCCAACGCATGCGTTTAACTTTTTGGACACGCTTGCCAAGGAGCACATTGGATGCCCGATCCTTATTCTTCTTGGCATCCCACTCAGGCAGATAGCTCACAGACATCCCAGGCGATAGCTGGACGCCCTCCGCCACACTCGTCCGGTGGACGAAGACATCCTCGCCACCTTCGGACGGGGCGATGAAGCCGAAGCCCTTCTGCTCGTTCCAGACCCTCAGGGCAGGAAACTGGCCTGGTGGTGGAGTGCAGTGCCCCAACACCTCAAAGGAGACTAACAACTAGCAATCATAAACCACGGGGTTGCGTGCACGTACGATGATTCTGAACTAATGTGGGATGTTTGATATTAATGTTCCTATTGATTCTTGAACTGCTTCCCACCCCATCCTGGTGGCATGTTTGGCTATTTGGCTAAGGAAGGCTGCACCAACTCGCCATTTGTTGGGCAATGAACATCTGCTACCCCTGTTTTATGCAACGTTAAGTCCTGCGTTTTGTGATCCTGTTTTCCTCACCTTGCCAGGAGTGTTTGTTTTAGACCACCGGGCTGAAGGCCATTTTCCAAACAGCCAAGCATCTTTACAGCACCCACTCGTCGGTCCGCAAAACATCTCAACGAAACCCATGGTATCGCCATGCGCCGAGGAAAAAGGCCATGCGCAGCCCAAACGCGGGACTGCCGCAAGCCTACGGCAAGCGCCATCGGAAACGCGACCACCTCGCTCCAAGGCTTGTCACTACGCGGCAACTTGAGCACCGACCGGCACGGATTAGGAAACAGAAGGCATCTCTCCTAGTAGCTAGACACGAATTACTGCGCTACCAAGAACAGGAAGCGTTTAGTAGTTCTTGGCATTACGACCGATAGCACAAAACTACTAGCCACCAAGCGCATAAGCGACTGCTCATGCTCCCCCTGCCTGTTTGCAAGAGGGGGTCGCCTTGTTCCTAAGCACGGTGGGATAAAATGTCGCAACATGCTGTGTGAGAAGCTCTCCTGTGCCGTTTTCCTCGCCGTTGAAAACTTCGCTTTGTTCACAAGCAATTGGAAGTCTCCCATGCCCCTGCACCCAACATTGCTGCCACAAAGCAGGATGCCACGTAACGCATCATCTCCCCCACCTGACCGACCTGCAGAAGGCCGTGAAGTCGTACCAATCCCACTGTCCAGAACCGGCCGATGGTCAAATCCATTGCCTACTTATGCTCCGCCCCAGCCATCACACAGCCACAACGGTTTGGGTCTCCCAAGGCCCTGACGCATGCACTCCTGGCCACATGGTTTTGTCATCTTCTTTTTACAACGAGCAACTGGTCATCATTCAAGTACCCTGTGCAAGGCTCGGTCCTTGAAGGTCACATTGCGGCCAGCATGGATTGCCGATGTCAACAATGAAGCCTTGCCCAAACACAAGGCAGCGGCCCAGATCACCTCGACAGCTGAAAACCTGCAAAGAAAACAGCCGAACCACAACCAAACGCAAATCCAGCCAACCAAGGACATGGCAGCAACCAACGACATGGCAGCAACCAACATGGTTTGTCATTTCCCGGCTGCATGTTCGCTCCATGCGGTTTCGATACGGAAATGGTTGCGACCCCGCCAACCACACACACACACATGCGGGCAACCAACATGGCTCTTCACATTGCATATTCGCCCATGTTGGATTGAAACGGACATGGCTGACGACATGGTTTGTTAACGTTTTTTGGCTGCACATTGGTTGCCTGATGTTTCCACGCGATAAACGATTGCATGGGCTGCTTCGCTATATACTGTGTTCGATGCGATGTAGTTGTGGACGCGCGTCGCCCGAAAATCTCCAAATTTATATTGTTGGTCTGTGACACGAGATCATGAATCATGTGAGTCATCTGATCATGCGGTGATGATCTGCGGTGCCGGCTGAAGCTTGGGCTGCGTGCAGTCTAGTTTGGCCCTATTCGCTACATGAACGCCAGAAAACCCTCAACGTCAATAGAAAACATGAGTGACGAACTCACAAGGTCAACACTGCAATTCTTTTCCCGGCAAGGCCGCAAGTGGAACTATGTCTAGTCCATCGCCTCGCGCATTGTGGTCTGCGCCACGTCACCAAATCAAATCAAACTATGTACAATGGGAGGCAATGGGAGCAATGCCCTGCCGCCAACCTCCTCAGACGGAGAGGGCAGTTGCGGGGGAGGGGGTTCCTCCAGGCTCAATAGCGGGCTGTGAGTGGGAGGCCCACAAACCCGAGCAAGGTTGATCCCACGGCCCGCTGCTGGGCGCAGCTCAACAGCCCCCCAGCATGGGGGTGCCAACTGGCGGGGTCCCTGGGAGTGCGGAGGCGGGCCAGGGCCTGAACGCAGATGAGGCATACGAGGCGTTCGTGCCCCAGTCGCATGAGTTCGGGGTACCGAGCCTCCTTGCGGGGCCGCGCTGTGTGGGGGACGTGCCCGTCATTGCGAACGATGCCAGGGTGTGGGCGGCCGTCGGCTCGCAAAGGGGACACGAGGGAAATCCCTTGGATCCACTGGGTGACCACCGCACCGCCTGCCCCGTGCTCGTCTGCCGCGTGGCCGCCCTCGAGTGCGCAGCCGCCGCGATCTGTCGTGAGGCCGGCGCGCGGGTCGCCACCAATGTCTTTTTTTGGGACCTGAACATTGGCACATTCCTTACAGACGGGCGCCGCTGGCCCCTCCGTGGCAGCGACCTGGCCTCCGCGCCGCCCTGCACCACTGCTGGGGGAGCTCCTCTCCCTCGCAGTGCGGGGCAGCTTCGCCACGACGCGCGCCGCCCTCCCCCGCCGCCCTCGACGACCTCACGCAGGACGCGCGACGGCTCCCCTGTACATAGTCTCACCTCTCGCTCAACGCCGCTGCGTCCGAAGACGGAAAAAACTCAAGCATGAACCCGGGTCACGCGGGAAGCATTTGGCCCAGAAGGGCGAGGTGTTCCCACAATAATGGCTGGCCCACACCATTGTGGCCGGCAGAGATGCGGCGCGGGCGGCAGCGGCAAGCGTAAACGGTGAGGAGCACCCGGAACTGGTCGGCGGGCAGCCAGTACTCGGGCCTCTGATGGTGGCAAACATTTGGTATATATATATATATCTGAGTGCAAGACATATAACATACGTGCGGCTGACGCGGCCCTCCACAGCGTGCGGGGGTGGGGGCGAGGGCGAAAGCGAGGAGCAGGCGCAACTGGCGCCGTAGGTTGAGGATTCGGTGGGCGGAAGCGCTAGCCGGGTCTGCCGTGGAGTGAGCCCCAGGCAGCTCGCCTCCTCCGCAGCAGCAAGTAGGGACGGCGCCCGCGAACCGGTGCCGTGCTCCAGCTCCCGGGCTCAACGCTCTGCGATCAATTTTTTTGTCAGAGACCATGGCACTCGCAACCAATTTTTTCACAGCCCCGTAAGTTGCCCACGAGGAGGGTCGCCACGTCATAACTATAGTCATAAAATGCATATTTTCTGTATGTTTTAACTTCGCTACCTTGTTGTGAACCTAGGTGGATTAAAACTATAATTTGGGTAGTTAACAGGTTGTCACGTTGAAGAAACAAACCTATGTTTTACATCCGCCTGGGATTTACGCCTCCAACCCGTGTCTGCAATTTTAAAGCTATAGGTCGTAGTTTTTGACCTGGAGGTATCCCTGAACCTCTATCAAAACTACCGCACTATAAAATGCGGACCAGACGGGACCAGGGTAGAGGCGTGGGAGCATTAAGGAAATTAGACCCTTTACAAAATGCCACGCGAAATCCATGAACATTTATCTCTGGATCCGATTTTGATTTTATAGGGGGGACATCTATAGTACGATATGCAGTCACAAAATGTGTGTCCAAAGCGTTCTATTCTATACAGTAGAAAGTTCATTCTTGAACACGACCTCATCGATACGAGTCCTCGATACGAGCCACCGATACGACATGAGCCAACTACGGGCACAAGCAATCACAACAATCACGACAATTCATCAATTCGAGGCATCTCAAGATATTCCTTCTTCATCTTGTGTCATATTTTTCAAGATTTGCTGGCTCCGGTTTCTCACAGAGTGGATACGCACAGATCAAAACGACCCCCAAACAAATGAAAAAATGACTACCCCTAGTGTTCTGGAACATGCCACACTCTATATATTTGAGGTTCCAGTTTTGGGATGTGCTTTCCATGTGTTTATTCAAATTGAAGAAACTTGATGATAAATAGCAAGCATTGATTAATAATAGGGTCATTTCTCAAATTGCTGCGAAGAATCAGATACCACAAACCCCAACCAAAAAAAAGAAAAAGTAAAGCAACCATGGCCACTATCAACAAAATACTAAAAAAAAGGGACACTTCGGGTGGCACAAAACATCGCCTCTGGCAGGGCAAATCCCGGGCTTCGCATCCTGCGCACACGCTGGGTTTTTTATAAACATAGGTCCGCGCAGCAAGGTCTCTGCGCAAAATCTGTCCAAAAAGTGCCCTGAACATGTCCAGGGGTGTCCGAAACTTTTCACCGATCAAGGTTTGCACATGTCACATTACAAAAAGTTGCCCGGCGACTTCGCACAATCCGCATTTTGGGCTCGTGAAGTTGGTGTTACGTCGTAGCCGTTTGTGGGCTCAAGGCGCGTCTGCCGCGGCCATGGAAAACATGGATTGCACCCAGTGCAGGCATGAGCCTTCGGACTGAAACGCGACGGAAAAAATTTTGTTTCAACGCCACTCAAGTGGTTGACCTGCAATCGTGGACGAAAACCACACAATCTTCTTCAGCAACGCCCCGGAGCTGAAAGACCGGGGTCGCTGTTCCTGGACGTGCGTGCGGTGGGTGCGTGGCTTGCTCAATGTCAAAGAGGCCATGGCTGCTTTCATCCCTGGACACCACTGCGTTTTTCAAGCCCATAAAGGTTTGCAAGGTTCAGGGCATAGTGAGGAAAGCATCCTCAAGCGTCCGCATCTTAGGTGGTGCTGCGGCAGGCCTCTTGCAAAACATATGCAGCTCCGAGCTGGCCTGCAAGCGTGCTTTGCGCCAAGTCAACCTGAACGGCTCTGCGCAAATGCCTGTGAGGTGGTCATGGGTTGGGGACTAAATCACTTGTTTGCTTTCGATTTGACAACTGGCTGATCGAACGCGAAAAATTGCTCGATTAAAAGTTCTAGAACTAACTTAAATGACTTAGGTCAACACAGTTCGGTCGCGGAAAAACAACGGTTAATTTATAACTTGTGACCCTCCTCGTGTACCATTCAATCCTCCAGGCGGACTTGTGTGGATGGTCATTATCATATCGCGTGGCTGTGCAGCGAGTTTGGTAGTTGCAAATTTCATTCGTGAACTTAAACGCCAATGATTCAAACTTGAGCTAAAACCATTATTAACCACTATTAAACAAAAACTGAGGTTCAATTCAATGTAAAAATGCACAATCATGTTTTAACACCGCCACGTGCATAAGCCATGTTTCTTGCACAGCCGACGTGCTGCTCCGGAATACTTCCATGATGGCGGTGAAGGGTGGGGAGTGGTCTGCTTGGCTTTCCACGTTGGAGTTGTGTCTTGGCCACCCCTCCTTTGGAACCAGCTGTGGCCTCTTTCATACTCGCCAAAAAAATGGTTGTGATGCAAGTTGCGCCAAATTGTTGGAAGCAACTGACTTGCCTGGCTTGTCAAGCTTCGTGGGACATCGTCATGCGTTGAGTTGGCTTTCGGTGAGGGTGGCAATTCTGGATCTGGTTTCCTGCGCGTCGGTCCGTCCACTTACATGGACGATGCCAGATACCAGGGTTCCAATGCCGGGACATGGCCATGCATCAGCTCTACATTTTTCCAACCGCAGCCGACAACTCAGGAAACCCCCTGCCACCGACGGGCCTAGGGTTGAGGGAGATGCGGCTCGGGGGGATGCCAGACGCCAGCGACACCACCACAGCGAGGAGGTGAGCGCTGCTGCCCTCGGCGGCGGCGGGGATCACTGTTGCGGGATGCGCATTGGTTCGCTTGCCGTTGGTTGTCACTGGCTGGCTACAGCAAGTTCCCTTATGCCCGCCTAGTTTTGGTGTTTCCTCCGCGGTCTATCATAGGGCCGATGGAAAAGAACGAACATGAGGTGCAATCAAAACTGTGAAATTTGTTTGCCACCATCAACTGTCTTGTCCCTCCTGACCAAAACGACGATTGTCGTCTCAATGGTTTCTGTTTGTTGACTGGATATTGCTCATTGGAAAACTATCGATTTAGAATTCGCCACAACGTCTGTTCACCTAATTTTAATCACTAAACTAAACTATATTTACAGAATGGAACTACCATCTAAGCACGCGAAGAGTGCCCACGTGGGTGCCAACGTCTGTTCACCTAATTTTAATCACCAAACTAAACTATATTTACAGAATGGAAATACCATCTAAGCACGCGAAGAGTGCCCACGTGGGCGCAGGCGGAACAACATCTGTTCCAATCCAGTTTGCACCAAATGCGGCTCAATGTGCAACACGATCTTCAACCACAACCTAAACACGCCAACGAAGCCCACACGCCAGAAACAACCGA